TATAAAAATTCCCAAAACGTGAGATGCAATTCCTCCTTGACCGGCGTGATGATGTGAAGATGAAAATTGCAGGGATTGACATGAAAAGTGACGATAATTTGGAACAGATTGACGCTAAAAGAGAGAAACAGGATACGGACAGAGCCAGCAGACTCTTGGTCAAAGAGACAGAAATCTGGTAATTGCATATGTTCCCCATGTTGAGGATAATTTGGACGATTTAAGAGATATCCCTCCTGTCAATACTGATGTTGATTTTGTTCCCGATCCAAAAGTTCTGACAAACACCATCTCACAGAACAGAACAAGACTCAGCACATTGGCTACAGATTGTTACCGATATTTTATTAGTGATTATCCTGGAGCTGCCATTGTTACTGTTACCTTAATTGACTATGGCATTATCACAAAAGAAGATAAGAGTTATTGAACACATAGGCTACGAGATTCGGGAGAAAATATCGATTGAAGAAGCAAGAAACTTAAATGGCTTGTTTTGAAAATATAACGTCAATGTATTTTAATGGTAAGAAGACAGCCACTTGTGTGGTGATAAAGAATGAGAAGATCAATAGGCGCAGTTCAAGGATAATAGGGCAAGATCATTATGTCATCATGGTTGAGCTTGGCAATGAATATCTCACACATATAGCTCCCAAGACTGAACATGGAAAGCAGATTGCCAAAACTATTCACGAGTTTCTGATGGAGAAAAATCTAACCCAGTTGTCCATTATATGCGTTGGTAGTGATGGAACCAATGTAAATGTATGGTCAGAAAATGGAGCCATTCACCATCTTAAAATCTTACTTAGTCAACCGCGCCATTATTTCATCTGTCAGCTTCATGGAAATGAGCTGCCTTTCCGCGCAGTTTTCTATCCCTCTGATAGTAAACCAAGTAGTCCAGAGCATTGGCATGGTCCCATTGGGAAGAAGATCAATTGTTGCCTTCCAGCCAGTCAGTTTCACTGACTTCCATGAACTGAATGAAGAAGTGGAGAAAGATCTGTCCTGGGCTCATAAATACCTGTATATAATGTGTAAAGGAGTTATTGCAGGTGTTGTTGATGATGAATTGGCTGCTATCAAGGTGGAATACTTGAGTAGAATTTCTTAAGCTGTATGTAGCAACATGAAGACCCAGCCACGAGCTGAAAAGAAACGTCATTACAATTATAAAGTTCAGTGCTCCAATATTGTTCTACATCAAGATGCACTCTTACGTAACACAAGGCTCAAGGAACGTATTTCAATCCCTGCTATATATGAAAAACCTGAATAATAAGAAGATGTTAAAGTCTGTCGACAGAAATGTATACTTCGCCCACACAGATCAAATTCTTCTTGGTATGTGCGCAGATGAGGACGTGACTATTAGATAAAAAGCTGTCTCAATGATAAGAAAAAATAAAGAGGAAAATCAGCAAATGGAAAAATGAACTGATAGATCTGGTGGGGAGGAAGGAGATTCCGCAGCTGTTGTTGACAAGAATTTGTTAAACTACACTGATGAGGAGGACAGTGAAGTGTAGTAAATATGAGAAAATTGGTGACCCCCAAATTAAAGTGGCAAGCAAAATCTATCATCCAATGATTAAATGGATTCAAGAATTAGCTTCCTTACATTGTTTTGCTATCAAATCAACAGGTTAATGACATTCTTGAGTCATTATTAGTAGTACCCAAGTGATCAAACTGTACTCGGGCAGTCGAAAGAGGGATAAATGAGATGACTGAAGCTTGCACTGAAGTGACGGGATACTGTTATGGGACCTTACCCATAATAACATAATGGACTATTCCATACGTAATAAATACTGCGCCTCAAGAGGAAGCAGGGAGTTCAGTCTGAAGTCTGGAGTGAAGTCCGTCAGGAGTCTGTCAGTCAGTCAGAGCGAGCGAGTCAGTCAGTCGAGTCAGAGGCAGTCCGAAACAGAGTTGTGTTCAGACAATTACTACTAAACCTGATTGTTCGTAGTAACACTTTCTACTTCACTGTATATATTCATGTGTGTAATATATCCGTGTTATTCCATATCCGTATTCGAGTTCTTCTTTATTGGTTCTACCTTGGACTATCACCGTGGTACAAGGAACCGGACCATAACAGATACAAAGTGAGAGATGTATATATCGTGCAAAGTTTATGTATAGGAAAACGATGCCCAGTTTCCGCACACGAAAGAAAATTCACTATTGTGATATTTTAATATGATGTATATCTTAAATAATATTGAAATTAAATTGATGTCACCAATGTACAATTTATTATTTTCCTGGCAAACAATAAATGACACCTAGTTTTTGGTGTTACAGTAAAAGATGACAAAAAGTCGAACCCGATGCTGCAGGGAAAGTAGGCATGAAATGGGCTGAAATTTTTCGCGGTTGTTTTTAAAAAGTGCAACTTGCAAATAAAAAATGTGTTTATTCACTGCTCCCACATCTTCCACACCTCGTAAAAAAATTCTTGTTACAGAAACCACACCATCAACGCTTATCTTAGGGAGCCTTTAGTACTATGCTACACAGGGTAGTCTACAAGACTGCCTCTTTCTCTATCTTCTTCATTCTTTCTCTTTCTCAGACACACACGCACAGACATACACAAACACAAAACACACACACACACACACACATATATATATATATATATATATATATATATATATATATATAGAGAGAGAGAGAGATAGATTACAGTGCACCGACGTCGATACCGAATGTGAACAAGGTTATTTTAAAATGGGTTTAACGACAAGATCGAGGAAATATTGCTCAAGCTCCAACGGCATTTACCCTTTTTAGGACGCCTCAGACACAGAGTAATGAATCCATCCCTCTTCCGAAGAAGAGGTACTGCATGAGGGCTAGACCCCTGGGACTTGCGCTTAATATTCATTTCAACGTTCCTTGATCGAATCGAACATCGAGTTTTGAAGGACAGGGGCTTACGTGTTAGATACGATATATATATATATATATATATATATATATATATATATATATATATATATATATATATATATAACCCAACTAAAACGTCAAATAATGTCATTCAGAAACAAAGTTTCATTTCCCTTTCGCACTGGAACGGAGACACTCACACATATATATATATATATATATATATATATATATATATATATATATATATATATATATATATATATATATATAGAGAGAGAGAGAGAGAGAGAGAAGAGGTTATAGTTGTTCCAACGTGAGAAAATGTATATATTAAAAGAAGAGAG